AGAAAAGCTGACCTAAATGCTGTTGTGGATTTAATTACATTTTGATTAAAACATTTAAGCCATCTTTTAGGGACCAAAACATCTCAAGATGGCATACAAGATAAAACAGAAAATACCATTATAATCCCAAAAATAATTTTTTGTACAGTTAAATTAACAAATGATATTGACAATAACACCAGTGGGCGATGACAAAGGAAATAAAACATTAACCATCATGGTCAACGCTTCATAACTTTCCAAACCAGGAGCCATGTTGTAAAAATGCAATGAAATTGTTAGAGAATTGCGATGATTGAACATTGCGCATCAGCAAGAGTATTCCAATGCACACTGAATACTTCCAAAGTGCTTAGAAATGGCTAATGAGCATCAGTTAATTCAAATGAACATTGGGCACTTCAGATCCACATTCAGCAGTCCTGTCGTACTACTGCACTTCCTAGTCATTCGGCTATAGAATTTGCAAATAGCAAATCTTCATGTTTATCAATATTTGCCTGATACATATTGGTATCAATAGGACTATGGGGTCATGGTGCATCACCATTCTGCTGGTTGCCATTTCACAAAACATATGCTGTAATAGAATGGAAGCTTCTAGACGAATATGGATGTTATAAAACTACTGCACAAGTAAATCCTCTTATGAAGACATAAGTCCATTCTTAATTCAAGCCATGTTTATTTTGCAAGGAGGCCCTTTGCCATGCCAAAGTTGGCAACACTGAGAACACATTCTCTTTTTCTGACATTACAGAGTGAAATCTCAGATTGATTCTTAATTGATTGTATGCACCCTTTCTATACATGGAGTGATATATAGAATCCATGAAAATGTTCTTGTCCTCAATGAAGTATTATCAACAACTCCAAGATTTTTCACATTTCAAGATGGGAGGAGGGGCAAAGAAGTATTCAAAGTCAAAAGCAACATTATACAGCACCCTCCCCCCCGAAAAAACCAAAATCCAGCACTGTGTTTTGCACAAAATACAATGTTTTTTGCATATCCTGTTTTATATGAAAAAACATTATCTCTGTGAATCTTTTGAAAAAAGTGATGACCAAAAAATCTTGTAACTTCACAAAGAGAAGGAAAAAATGATATTTAATTCTCCCTATGAGACTGAGATAAGAATGAAAGCCTTTCATACTTTGGACTTTTTTGACGGCCACTTAAATGACAGCTTCATTAGGCATTAGATTTTTGGAATGCTAACATACTAATATAGATCTAATATAGTCAGAGCAAGGATATTTAGAAATGATCCTTTCATGAGCTCATTTCAGACATAGACCATCGCCCTGACAAGATCCACATGGAACTCTTTGACTTTAACTTCACAGTATAAAGACATAAAAGATGGTCAAAGGCCAGAATGGAGTCCTCCACTACATCCAAAGGGGTGGTTTCTGTTTTTTGTTTCCCCAAAATGTTTTCTTTTCTATTACTGAGTTGGATGAAAATTTCTTTTTGAATTTTATACTGTTCTTAAATCAGAAGTAATCATAGAGTCACAGGGGCCACAGCAGGATTTTCAACTATAGAATACAGAGTAATTTCCTGAACTCTCAGAGCTGGGTTAATACTTAAAGAGGACCACCAAGGACTCATTGTGGGTGTGTGCACAGCTCAGCAGAAAGTTTATGTGCCCCTATTTGACATCCAAAGCTTGATTACAGGAGATCAAGCCAGTAACAGCTATCATATTCACATCTATTCTTCAAGACTTTCTATATAGCTTTTATACTATATCTATTTCATAGATTTATAAAATGTATAAACTTCTTTATTAAAATATATCCAGACAGGCCCAGAAACATTCACCTCCTTGCAGAGAGATTTCCTGGACAGGAAGGGTGTTCAAAACCCATTATTTCAGAGTTGGGTGATCTCCGACCAAAACCCAAACATGTTTGTCTAGTGGTTTGTCTGTCCACGTGTATAAAACCTCTCTTGTTGTCGGCCGATTCTTTGAGTACCCAAAATCAACATCCTTGTCTTTCACCATTGTCTGGCATTGAACTGGACACTTGGGTCCTTTGTTTCAAGAGAAAGCCCCTAAGCTCTCCAAATATGGGCATAGTCTTCCTGGGCCTACCTCTTCCCAGGAGAGCCACCCCATCAACAGCTGACAGCCCCTCCTTGGGACCAGTCCTCCTCTGTCTCCTCCCCGCTTGCTAAGGAATCCCTGTCTGAAGGTAGCAATGTCACTGAAGCACAGTCAATGAAGATACTGCTTCAGGCCAGCTCCTCTGCTGTATGAAATGGGAGCAGGCAGAGAGGGAAACTTGAATGGTTGTCAAATATATAAAAACTCTTGTTTATACTATGTATAGTTATGCTTCTGTTTTTTTACATTAACCTTACATGCATTATTTCTTCAAAAACCTTCAAAACCAGCTTCAGCTAAGAATAGTGTGTCTCCTCCAAATGAAGGCCTGGAGGAGGTAATGGGCTGGATGAGGAAAAACAAATTGAAACTGAATCCAGACAAAACAGACTTGCTTGCATGAAGAGTCCTAATCTTGGGATGAACGTATGTGAACCGGTTCTGGATGGGGTTACACTCCCCCCCCCAAAAAAGATTGTGTTCACAGCTCTCCAAATGTCAGTTCAGGTAGATGTGACAGTCAGGAGAGCTTACTATCTGCTTTGGTTGATGTGCCAGCTATGCCCCTTGCTAGATTTGGAATACTTAGTGCATGAGCTGGTAACCTCAAGATTGGACTTCTGCAATGCACTTTACATTGGGCTACTTTTGTACCAAGTTCAGAAACTCCATTTTGTTCAATATACAGTAGCCAGATTGGTTACAGGAGCAAACAGGGGTGAGCATATCACCACTATCCTAAAGTCACTCCACTGGCTGCCAATTAGTTTACAAGTAAAGTATAAGGTGTTGATATTTACCTTTAAAGGCCTACATGGTTTGGGTCCCAGTTACCAACAAGATAACTTCCCATGCAATCCGTCTCAAACACTGAGGTCCTCTGGGGGGTATCTGCTCCAGCCTGGCAGAACCGGACTGACAACCAATACACAGAGGACCTTTTCATTGGCCACCCCACAATTGTTGAATAACTTGCTGGAAGAGGTCCACAGCTAGATTAGCTGTTGGAATTTAAGACATACGTGAAGAGTTATCTCTTCCAACAGGCTTACCCAGACAGTATTAATGACAAATTTTAAATTTCCGTACTATGTCTAATTTTTGTTTCATGTATTTAGTATGTATTTTATAAAAATATGTTTTAATATGTATATTCTACAGTGTTTTTAAATGATTATGTGTTTTGATTATGTGTTTTAGCAATGTTTTAACCTGCCTCAAGCTTTGAGGGTAGGCAGGTAAGAAATAAAATAATTATAATTATAAATAATTCTGCAGATAGTAATTAAAACCTCTGTTGTCTTTCCTCATCTCTGGTGAGTGTGTGTTCTTTAATCTGAAACTTTGGGTGTTATTGTAAATGCTCACCAAGCAGGACCTTTCTTAACCACGTATAAATTTGACTTCAGAAGGGTTGGGAAGAGACAGCCATCCTTTGCCCCATGACTGCCTGAGCCCAGGATGGCTGTTGAGATGGCTACTACAGTTTCTATTTGGGACTAGCTTGTCTGCACATGCCCTCACTTGGGGGGAAATCCAACTTTGTAGATGGAGGCAAGGTTCTAGAATATTTCATTTCATGACACATTAGGTCATTCTTTTGGGGCTATTTTGTAATGAATACCAATAGAACCATTTCTCATGGACCTAAAGGCTGTTCTTATTCTTGATTAGATTAGAGTCAATCAGATGTTCTTACATGATTATTTATGATTCTGAAATATGATACAGAAAATGATGATGCTTGCCATAGATGCAGGCGAAACGTCAGGAGAAATGCCTCTAGAACATGGCCATATAGCCCAAAAAACCCACAAGAACTGAGATATAAAAATAGTTACAAAACAGAGATAGAAAAAAAGAGTTACAGAGAAAAAAATGCTCCACAAAGATAAAAAGGATTTTCTTGATATATAAAACTAGACTACAACAAATAACACAATTATATCTAAAATGATCATTCTAACCAATATAAACCTAAAAACATATGAAACTTAAGTAAACTTAATCTGGAAACCTCAAACTCAATACCTATTGATTTTTACTTCTTTTCTACTCTCTTAGTAAATTTCCACCAAAATTGTTACTTTTAATAACACTCTTCTAAATCAGAAAACAATTAAAGTTTGTCCCCACCTTTTCTGCATGAAAGTAATAAACATGTTCCAGTCTTTTAAAAAAAATGTCAAGAATTTCTCCTTGATCAGTGTTGTCAGTTTATGCATCTCAACTGATTCACACATCTCATAAGCAATTCACCTTATGTTGCGATAGCTAGTTCTTTCCATCTCTAGCCATAGTAATAATATATAGTCATAATCTTCCATGGTTATCTCTAGTTGATCCTAAATAAAACATTAGTTTCATCATGATTTAACATTTACATTTCTTTTAACATCATATGCATTTGAATTGAATGTTGCTGGGCCCTTTTGTGAGACCTTTACTACTGACCTCCACATACCATATCTGTGTCCAGACATTTCCCCACATTTCCAACATTTACTAGAACTGCCTTTATATACCTTTAAAAGCCTTTAGAATAAATGCAATCAGACACAATTGTACTTATCCTGGCTCAATACTATGGGATTCTGGGGTTTGTAGTTTGATGTGGTACCTGCAGTTTTTGTACAGAGAGCTAATGCCCTCATAAAACTACAATTCCCATAATTTCATAGTATGTAGCCATGGCAGTTAATGTGATGTCCAGCTGCAGTAACTCTACAGTATAGATGCATATTGGGTTGTGGTTAGTAAAGAACAAAGGATGGACCATAGCCTTAAGTCTGCTCCTTTAAGTAATCAAGCAACAGAGCATAGAAGGTGCTGACGTGGTGACTCCCACATTTGATCTTGGTCTTCTTCATAACCTTGCCCACTCTGACATGCACTGTTCTCTCAGCTTCTCTCTTAGTCCAGTTATAGGAACACAGACAGCTGTGGAAATGTAAGTAATGTGACAGCTCTTTTCTTGATAGATGTGATGGTAAAATAAGAAGATCCATAGCTCAATTCCCAATATCTATGTTTAAAAGAGCACTAGGGGCATCTACATTTTCCCTTGTGGTGGTTTTATGTCATTAGCAACATCTGTGGAGCAGCACAATGTTTATATCTGACTTTGAGAGGCCAGGGAATAGAAAATGCACACATCATCCAATTCAGCTCATGCAGAATGAGGACTCCTGCAAGACTACATGTGCCATGGATAGTATAGGCTTACCAAAACTCTATCTTGCTATATCTCCCACTTCTTCTGGAGCCACATTGTGGTTGCCTCAACTACTTTGCCCCTTACCCTGTAAATTCAGCTCCTTTGTTGGAGTCAGAAAGCCAGTCAATGATGAATCACCCAAAAGTGATGGTGCTGCCCCTTCATGAATTTTTTTGAGAAACAGAATTCAGGGAAATAGTTATCAACTGAGAAATCACTCCAAAATTCCAGGAGTATACATTTTTCTTGTTTGGTTCTGTTTCCAGGTTATGGAACTCCCTTAACCTGAGTAGCAGACCAGTTCCCTTACAGTTATCTCTTGTGCTTGCAATATTTCCCTTTCACTGGTGTGTTTTTTTAATTTTGCTGTTTCAATAGAGACATTTGTTTGTGTTTAATATTACAACCATTGCTGGTTTTAGTACATCTTATTTACATCGTGTTCTAAGTTATTTTGAGTTCCACTTTTGCAGGAAGGTGACAAATAAATAAATTGTTTTATTATGTTGCATCTAGAGCAGACTTCCAGCCATGAATCTCCGAGTCAGTACTTGTTTTGTGATGCTTACCTATTGCTTCTGGTATGGAGATGCTCGAAAGTATAATAAGATACTCATTGTGAAAAATGGAGCCCCATGGGGTGATTGGGCTAAACCAAAATTCTGTAAGGAAGGATATGCAAAGGGATTCGCGTTGAAGGTAAGGTTATTTTGTACTCTTCTTTTCAGACACCTTGATAATGAACAGCTCTCCAAAGATTAAAGAAAAAGTTTGACTTAACAAAAAAGGAGAAAGTGGAGAAATATTAGGAAATTGTGGGCCAGAATCCTATATCAGCTACTTGGTTAGGTATTAGCAAAGCAAACACTTTTGGCTTGGCCCATACAAGCCTGATGGAAATTTCATTTATCTGTGTTCCAACTGTTGGGAGAATGACTGTCTTTATCTCTAGTTCACTGATACCAAAGCGCTTCAGCACAATGAGTGTCACTGTCAACAATGTGCTTCTTGTTCTGTGGAGCTAATTTTGCCAGGCAAGATTTGAGATTCACTGCAGAGTATTAAATTGCTTATTTAGGACTGTCTCCTGTCTTTATTTGATATGCTGTACCATCCTTAACTTGTGCAGCAGTACACTTTGGAGGTATGTGTTGTTTAGCTGTTGCAATTTGAAGCTAACTTCAGCCTGCGTTCAGCCTGCATTAAATGATCAGTGTAGATGAGCCCATGGTTTTCAGATAGTTCAGAGCTAAATAACTTGACCAGCACTCTGAATTGTGATTGGAAATGAATTAGTAGCCAGGGAAACTTTTAACAAGGGGGTGATATGCTTCCTTGAGACACATTGGTTATTATATTTCAATATCAGTCAGTTCAGCCTTCATGCTTAGGCATGTGTATGTTGGGTTTTTTTTTGGGGGGGGGGTACTACTAAAAATGTGTAACATAAGTATACTTTGTTTCCCCCAAAATAAGACCTTCCTTCAAAATAAGCCCTAGCATGATTTTAAGGGTGCTCAAAATATAAGCCCTACTTCAAAAATACGCTGCAGTTACAGTTAATTAAGAAATCAATTAGGAAATTGATTAGGTATTCCTGGATGACTTGTTTCTCAATTTGGGGTTGGATGTCCTCTAATCCCTCATCCACTCCATCTTGCTGAGGTTGAAGATGACTTTCTTTTTGTGAGAAGACCGAGGCAAAGAAGGCATTAAGTAGTTCTGCCTTTTCCCTACCCGCTGTCAGCATTGCCCCATCTTCTCCTCGAAGAGGCCCTATCACCTCCTTGTTTTTCCTTTTTCTACTGACATAAGAAAAGAAGCCCTTTTTGTTGCTTCTTGGCAGGGGGTTGGACTGGATGGCCAAAGAGGTCTCTTCCAACTCTTTGATTCTATGATTTTATAAGATCCCCTGAAAATGAGCACTCACACATCTTTTGGAGCAAAACAGGGTAATACATTTCAGTTTCCATGTGTCATGTTTTATTCCATAGTCCATGCCACCAAAGCTCTACAAAGTCTACAGTATCATTTTTGTTGCATTGTTAACATTATTACTATAACATTATAATTATTATAATGTTAGCTATAGAGCTATGTCATAAATGCTTTTGTACAAACAATTGACAAAAGGGACAAATACAATAATTTTGATCTTTTTCTGCTAAGGTACTTTTTTTCCATCCAATGTAACATATTGGGACAAAAAGAGCACCATGTTGTTTTTAATAAAACATGATGCAGCAAAGCAGAAGTAAGTATGAGTAGACACTGGAATTTACATAGGTCATGTATTTCCCACAGTACAAACAGTATACATTTATTTTATGTCTGTTTCATTTTATATCTTCTGGGTTTCGGATATTTGGGTGGAACGGAAATGTCTTGGCACATAAAACACTTCTTTGGGCTTGAGACATTTTATACCCTATGAATTCTCCTTGCAATGTTCATGATGTTAAAGTGCAACATTAATAACCCAGTTCATGAGTGTTAAAGTAGCTGCATTCACAACAGCTTTATTACACTCTTGTTTTTCTGTTTCCACACCAGGTAGAGGACTACCAAGGTAGTTTGGCATGGAATGATGATACAGGCTTGAATGGCATCCGTCTTTACTGTGATGATGGTCAAGCAGTAATGTCCAAGAGTGGAGAGTGGGTATCTTTTTCTCATGTTTTACTCCTCCTTCCCCTCATTTTAATCCTCCTCCTCTGCCACTACTACTATTACTACTTTTCTTTTCTTTTCTTTTCTTTCTTTCTTTCTTTCTTTCTTTCTTTCTTTCTTTCTTTCTTTCCTTCCTTCTTTCTTATCTTGTGATTTGTGGTCCCATATCAAGAAAAAAGCAGACAACAAACAAAACAGATAAAATAATTATTTAAATGTTATCATCCATCAAGTCTGTTGTGTACCAATATTGATCAAGTCCCCAAACAGCTCACAAAACAGATTTGTATAAATGTCTAAAACGGCCACCAGTTGGCATTCAGAAAACAGTTGCCAAATCTTTGGGAGCCAGCATTGAGCTAAAAGGACCCCATTTGAGACTGGGATCCAAAGTTTCAGAAAGAGTGATGTAGATCAGTGGTTCTCAACCTGGGGTCCCCAGATGTTTTTGGCCTACAACTCCCAGAAATCCCAGCCAGTTTACCAGCTGTTAGGATTTCTGGGAGTTGAAGGCCAAAACATCTGGGGATCCCAGGTTGAGAACCAATGGTGTAGATTATGTTACTCTCAAAAAGTGTATTTTTAATTGGCTGATGGGCAGACATAACCTACAGAAGTTTCCTTGTAATTCCACAAAGAAGTTACAGTGGACATACCATAATGTTTTATCCTGGGATTGATGTTTTCATCATCTTTATAAAGAATGTTGATGCAGGAGTAAAAAGGGTACAAATCAAATCTGCAGAAACAGAATCACTTCAACAATGATTGTTGAAGTGATTCAACAATCAATGGCCATTACTAACAGATTTAATTTAAACAGGAATGTAGATAAGGTTGTACATTTAAGCAGGGAAAAAGTCAGAAGCACAACATTTAGTCATTTGATAGCTAACATCTAGCTTCAAATATGTCTTTGTAGGTAACTAGATGTCTTAATGTGTATCTGCACTGTAAAATTAATGTAGTTTGACACCGCTTTAACTGCCATGGATCACTGCTATGAAATCCTGGGAACTGTTATTTGGTGAGGCACCAAAACTCAGCAGGAGCAAAAGTTTCACTACAGCTCTCATGGTTCTGTAGAATTGAGCCAGGACAGTTAAAGTGGAGTCAAACTGCATTAATTCTACAATGTAGATATTTCCTTAATTAACCACAACCTAAGACACAATGTTAGTTAAATATATTTTTACAGCCTGTATGGCACATGCTCTTGCTTGTGATCTTTGTTAATTGTCCACTGGTAACAGAAGTTGCATGAGCATAGGCACTCTTTAATGCGTTCTGCCTGCTTTTGAAATATATATTGCATGTCTGCTTTTTAAATTTTTCCCAGGGCATCACTATTGTCATTTTTGTTGGCAGTTGGGGAGCATGGAAAAAAGCTATATATTGCCCTAAAGGGCACCTGATGTCCTTCTCATTGCAAGTGGAACCTTATCAAGGGACTGTAGTTGATGATTCTGCAGCAAACAACGTCAGATTCGGCTGCTCTGAAGGGGCTGTCCTGACAGGTGACTCACACAATTGGGGGTATTTTGGTGCATGGAGCGAATCCTGCTCTTCCGGTGCCATATGTGGGGTTCAGACAAGGATTGAGCCCCCACAGGGGAATAATGATGATACAGCACTGAATGATGTGAAGTTCTTCTGCTGTGACTGAGACCTAGACTTTCAGCACATCAAATGCATGTTATCATGAAGCTTATTCATCATTAAATCCTATGTAAACAATTTTGTGTTCCTTTTTGAATGATGGTGACTTATTTCGATTAATATGGCTCTGGATAGAAGCTCACTGAAAGGATAAAGAGCATCGGGTGATACAAAAATTAAGAGGTTGATAATAGCTTATTAAAACCAGAATTCCTTTCTCTATATTGGCCAACAGTTTATTTATTTACTTACTCTATTTGTGTCCCGCCTTTCTCTACCCCAAAAGGGACTCAAGATGTCGTTGCATATGGCAATTATTCAATGCCTTTGGACAACAAACAGAATACACTTAAAAATTAAAAGTCAATGCACATTAAAACATATTAAACGTTGCATTCACTATTAAAATCACACCATTTAATGTAACACAATTTTGTTCCTGTGTTATAAATGTCATTTCCTAATTTGGTTCTTTCATAAAAACATAGAAAAGTTTATTAAACTGCAAAAACTTTGTTTTCGCAGGACATCCTGCAGCACATTTTGCTGTAGTTTTTCAGTGTATATCTCATAGAGTCTCAACCAATTCAACATAGTTTGTGGCAGCCACATAAATGAAGTTTTTGGAGTATAACAATGACTTTCAAAGCAAGTACCACACAATTAAACAGAAAATAACACTTTTAAAACACAAACATATTTTTTTCAAATTTTGTTACATAGTTATTGTTCAAACATTAGCGTCAAAACTGCAAATAACAAATCATCATGTCTAATTTAATATTATCAATCAGAGGTCAACATCTGGCTTTCTGAGCCTTAATCAGGTGCAAAAAATATTTATTTATTTATTTCATATATTTCTATCCCATCCTTCTCCCCACAAGGGGGACTCAGGGCGGCCTCATATAGGCATCAGCGATGCTTACAAACATATACATCATAAGAATAACAGTTAAAACAGTAAACACATTTTTAAACATTGTACAAATGAACCAATAAATTCATTTAACAATAATATTAGTATGCCAGTAAAACCAAAAATCAAGCCGGAAAATCCAATATTGCAAATCCAAAGTTCATTTTCCTATTGTCACTATCAGTGGGGGCCCACTGCCGAGAAGTCCCTGTCTCTCGTCCCCACCAACTGCATTTGTGAGAGTGGTGGGATTGAAAGCAAGGCCTCTCCTGACGATCTTAAGCTTTGTGATGGTTCATAGCAGGAGATACGTTCGGACAAGTAATCTCAGCCAGAACCATTCAGGGCTTAAAGGCAGCCCCACAGAGAGACTTCTGACTGTATGTTTCTGCATAGAAGAGGGTTGAACTGGATAGTGCTTGTGGTGTTCTAAGTGATTGATTTTAAAATCAGTAGCATACATTTGCACAGTGCCAGGTAAACCTAAATACTGCTGTGTATTTCATTACATTGTGATTAAAATATTTAAGCCATCTTTTAGGGACCAAAACATCTCCAGATGACCAAAACATCTCAAGATAAAACATATTTATAATCCCATAAACAAATATTTTGTACAGTTCAAGTAACCAAGGATATTGGCAATAACACAAATGGGCCATAGCTAAGGAAATAAAACACTGACCAGGATTCCACAAATCTGGAGCCATGTTGTAGAAATGCAATGAAATTGTTAGAGAATTGCAGTGATCAACATTTGGGCACCAGCAAGAGTATTCCAATGCACACTGAGTACATTCAAAGCGCATAGGAACAGCTAATTGGCATCAACTAATTCAGGTGCAAAGGCAGAGGAACGAGATTGCCAATATCCGCTGGATAATGGAGAAAGGCAGGGAGTTTCAGAAAAACATCT